GGTCCCATCAGCGGTTGAGCAGGCATCGGCGGCGCGGGAAATCCCGGTGCAGGAGCAACTTGTTGCTGCGCGGCGTGTGCGTCAAGGAAATTAGCCATTCTAACGTCCATCATTCCCGGCAGACCTTCCATCACATCCTGGAATGCCCGCATTAAGTCTCTCACCGAGTCTTCCAGTTCTGCTAGTCGTTCCCCGGTAGTTTCCTCCGGGATGGGGTCCCGAGGTCGATAGTCCGGGGGTGGGTCATAGTCCTCTTCCGTTTGGAAGGCTCCGGTGCCCTCCTCATCTTCTGCGTGGCCTCGCGGCCCCGATGGCTCGAACATCCACTCCTCGAGGTCTTGCTTGGAACTCCCCTTCTCCGAGGTAGTCCCCGGCTCCGGGAACAATCCCTTGTCAAACAGACTCTCACGTAATCCGCTCCCCCGACGGGAGTACACCTCTCGGGTGCCCTGAGTGTTGTACATAGTCCAGTCATCCTGCTGTTGAGTCTTCCGCGGACCCCAGTGCGAAGGGGTCGGAGGCGGCCAAGACAGATGTGCAGGCAGGCGGGGAATCGCTCCCCCCACGGCACCCTCCACCGAGGCTGCAGTCGTGAACACCAAAGAAGCGGAGGTATGTGGGACCGATCCTGAGTCCCCCTCCGTGTTAAGTAGATCTCCCTCAGTTCCGCTCATGATCTTGCCAGATTCGGAACGATAGGAGAAAGGGAGTTCTAACAATATGTTGGATCCCCAAGCATCGAGAATAAATCCACGTTTTCAAGAAAAGCAAAATTTATTTCAAAGCGTTGAAGACATACTCAAACACGTTCTTTGTTAGAACTGGGGATACACAGTTAGGTCAAGCATAATAAAGGAAATTCAAACAGATACAGATCCAATGAATGGCATTCCCGCTGGCGGGCTAATGAAACGGTTGCGCGCCCAGTCCATGGGAACCAGGCAGAACATCAGACAAAACACAGGTGCAGTACTCATGAGAAAAGCAATAGGCAAGCATTACAGCCTCGTCTCCCCCACACAACCTCCAGCAGTTATCTTGTGCATTCCAACGCAGGAGCAGGATGATAGAAAACAAGCCGGGTGCAACAGGGAAAGGATATGTACACAGAGGTCACAGAAAACAGAATGGCAGCTTGCTGACATAATGTTGGCATGGAGGGTGGGTTCCTCCCATTTAGTGGAGGGTTTTTTACATTACTCTGGCACTGTAGGACATTTGTTCATAATTTTGAGTGTCACATAACAACCCACTTCTAGTAGGTGCTGAACCTATCACTGTTGCTTACCAGGTATTATGTGATGGCTATCACTAACATTGAATGTGTAAACAGTCTAAAAAGGGCCTCCCAAGGGATTAATGCAGTTTAGAAGAAGAGTTGGTTTTTATACCCCACTTTCTCTACCCTGAGGAGTCTTAAAACGGCTTACAATTACCTTCCCTTCCTCATCTCCCAACAAGCACCTTATGAGGTAGGTGAGGCTGAGAGAGTTCTGAGAGAACTGTGACTGGCCCAAGGGCACCTAGCAGGTTTCACGTGGAAGAGTGGGAATCAAACCCAGTTCTCCAGATTAGAGGCCACAACTATTAAACACTACACCACACTAGCTTCGAGTGGTACCTTACTGTGGTAGACATATTCACCATATAGTGAGTTTCATTGGTGTTGTACACCCAAATGGTGAAAAATTTCAACACACCTGCACCCATTTGGAAATCTAGGAAACTAGCAGAGTGATAAAATCCACCTCACACTCTGGTTGGATGCCTAAAATTGCCAGCTTCCAACAAAATTATATTTCTGGCGATAAAAATTATCACAAGCTTGAGGAGCAGTGTTCGCATGGTATTACTTTAAATTACATTATTATTTACTTCAAAGGTCCATTTTATATCTTCATTGCTGAGCCCACCATTCTGTGACAATTGCCATTCCATGTGGTGCAGATCTAGCATGGCCTGCAGAGGCAAAATGGCAGGAAAGCTTGTGCTGTTCTTGTCCAACCTATCGTGGTCCTGCTTCTCACTCTCCCTGTAGATTCCCCAGGAGTGCCCCCAAGTGCTAATGCTCATCACCTCTTCAGAGGATTCAGCTTCGTTGCCTCCAGCCTGGTGCAGGAGCCTGCACAGCAAGACCTGCACAAAATCACAGTTCATCCAATTGTCCAGGTAAGGAGAGGTCTCCAATGAACAGATAAACTTGGGTGCATCCAATCTCAGAATTTGTGAACTTGTGGATCTCCTGACAAAAATATGTAATATCTCCTTAAAATCAGCCTCCATTCCTGAGGACTGGAAGGTAGCAAATGTCACTGCCATTTTTAAAAAGGGTTCCAGAGGAGATCCGGGAAATTACAGGCCAGTCAGTCTGACGTCGATACCGGGTAAATTGGTGGAAACCATTATTAAGGAAAGAATTAGTAGGCACATAGATGAACAAAACCTATTGAGGCAGACTCAACATGGGTTCTGTAAGGGAAGATCTTGTCTCACAAACCTGTTAATGTTCTTTGAGCGGGTGAACAAACATGTGGACAAGGGGGATCCAATAGATATTGTTTACCTTGACTTCCAGAAAGCTTTTGATAAAGTTCCTCATCAAAGGCTCCTAAGTAAGCTCAAAAATCATGGGATAAAAGGACAAGTCCTTTTATGGATCAAAAACTGGCTAATTAATAGAAAACAGAGAGTGAGTATAAATGGGCAGTTCTCCCAGTGGAGGGGTGTAAGCAGTGGGGTACCACAGGGATCAGTACTTGGTCCACTGCTTTTTAACTTGTTCATTAATGATTTGGAGTTGGGAGTAAGCAGTGAAGTGGCTAAATTTGCGGATGATACGAAGTTGTTCAGGGTGGTGAAAACCAGTGAGGATTGTGAGGCACTCCAAAGGGATCTGTCAAAGTTGGGCGAGTGGGCGTCAACATGGCAAATGGGGTTCAATGTGGCCAAGTGCAAGGTGATGCACATTGGAGCCAAAAATCCTAAATATAAATACACGTTGATGGGGTCTGAACTGGCAGAGACTGATCAAGAGAGAGATCTTGGAGTTGTAGTAGATAACTCACTGAAAATGTCGAGACAGTGTGTGACTGCAATAAAGAAGGCCAATGCTATGCTGGGGATTATTAGGAAGGGTATTGTAAACAGATCAGCCAATATCATAATGCCGCTATATAAATCAATGGTGCGACCTCATCTGGAATACTGTGTGCAATTCTGGTCACCACACCTTAAAAAGGATATTATAGCTTTGGAAAAAGTGCAGATAAGAGCAACTCGAATGATAAAAGGGTTGGAACACTTTCCCTATGAGGAAAGGTTAAGGCGCTTAGGGCTCTTTAGCTTGGAGAAACGACGACTGAGGGGTGACATGATTGAGGTTTATAAGATTATGCATGGGAAAGAGCAGGTAGAGAAAGAGGTACTTTTCTCCCTTTCTCACAATACAAGAACCCGTGGGCACTCCATGAAATTGCTGAGCGGTCGGGTTAGAACAGATAAAAGGAAGTACTTCTTCACCCAAAGAGTGATTAACACATGGAATTCACTGCCACAGGAAGTGGTGGCAGCTACAAGCATGGACAGCTTCAAAAGGGAATTAGATAAGCATATGGAGCAGAGGTCCATCAGTGGCTATTAGCCACAAGGTATAGATAGGGACTCTGGGGCAAGCGATGCTCTGTCATCTTGGTGCTGGGGGGGGGTCAACAGTGGGAGGGCTTCTAATGTCCTGGCCCCACTGGTGGACCTCCTGATGGCACTGGTATTTCTGGCCACTGTGTGATACAGAGTGTTGGACTGGATGGGCCTTTGGCTTGATCCAACATTGGCATCTCTTATGTTCTCTTATGTCCAACTTTTGTAGAATTAGGCCTAGTAAAGGCATTCATTCTCTCTCTCACTCTTACACAAACTCATATTCAGTTTCTCTTATTCTCTCTTATTCAGGCTTTGATTTGTTTCTGGAATATAGCGATCCTTGAGTACTTTCAATGTATATGATTGCAGTATAGAATGCAATTTACATATTATTATATTATAGCAAACCCATGTATGTGAAAAGAGAGTTTATTAATCACAAGATGTTGTTTGGGGTGCCAGTCCCCAGGTGCAGGCGGGGATTCCCCCGATTGTTAGGGCTCAGACCTGATTCCAGCCAGATGGCCAGCAGGGGAAGCCCTGCCCACAACAGTCATCTGCAGCTCCACTGGAAAAGAGCAGGCACCGCATGCATCTGCCCTGCAAGTGGCAAATTCACTGCTTGCAGGGCAGGCGCTCTTTCCAAGTGGGAGCTGCTGGCCTGGCTCCTGCCTTGCAAGAGGCTAGTTCCCCTCTTGTAGGGAAGGAGCACCTGGTTCCCACTGTTTTCCAGCGGGGGCTGCTGGCTCCTGCCTTGGAAGAGGAGCGTTCCCCTCTTACAGGGCAGGAGCGCCCAGTGCCCACTCATTTCCAGCAGGGGCTGCTGGCTCCTGCCTTGCAAGACGGGAGTTCCCCTATTGCAGGGCTGGCATGCTTGACACTTGCTCCCCCCCCCCCAACCATTTAAAGGGAAGGTTTCCTTTAAATGGTTGGGGAAAGGTGAGGGCGGGGGCAAGCTGGGTCCAGGACATGATGGCATCACACCGCCTCCTGGAATGCCCCCTAATCCACCTGCCAGGGAGAAGATTGGACCTGGGAACCCTAGATGTTGTGGGTTTCTGCTCAGAGCTACATTGCAGCCTCCAGTAAGGTCCCTATAACTGAGGTCTGGCTGTCTAGTATCAAGAGCAATGGACAAATGCTGCCCTAAAACCTATGGCAACACCCCTACATGCAGGGTTTCTTCTGCCACAGGAATGAATGGCAGCCATTCACTATTACAAAAGATAGAAAGGGGGCACTTTGGGGGCACCTTTGTGGTAGGAGTTAGACCTCTTCCAGCCCCTGTCTAGTCACAGGACAAATGTGATTGGCAATACAACGATCATCTTCACTAAAATAAACATACAAAGTAGGGCTGCCTTTCCTTCCCTTTTCCTTTCCGTTCATGATACGGCTGTTTTGGCCACAGCCTTAAGACTAATCACACAGAGAGGGGGAGCTCACTCCAGTCACAAAAGCTTTTTTTTTTTTTTTTTAATTAAGCTGGGTTGCTAAAAGGTAGGATGCCAGTGACCTGGTGATATATGGGTCCTTAGATCATAAAAGAAAAAAATTAATATTTGTGAGCTCATTTTTCTCAGTTTAACAGGGTAATCCACCTCTGTCTCTCCTCACTGAATTTGGGACATTTGATAACTAGTTAAGCCTATCTTCCCCATATTGCAGAAACACCAGGGTTCTAAAAAGGGAACTCCCAAAAAGCGACCTTTCATTTCTGGGATTAATACAGTATTCAATCTAGCAGCCCCCCAAAAAATCACAACATCGGGGAACATATGCTGATATGGTAGTTGGAGGTTCAAGTTCATTGTAGGCAAGGGAACTTGCTCGCTAATTTGTGCTTCTGCAATCTAGCACCAATAGCTGCTTTATGACCTTTTGGAATGCAGATTTCTTGCTTCCCATTGAGAATAGTAAATCTGGAGTAAAGCCTAGTTAGAATCATAGAATCACAGAGTTGGAAGGGGCCATACAGGCCATCTAGTCCAACCCCCTGCTCAGTGCAAAATCAGCCTAGTTGTTCCAGTCTCTGATCGACCAGCCTCTTCCATTTACTCTGGAAGGGATCTTCTCCTTGTCTAAAAAGGAATTGAGATCTATAGTTTAAAAGAATATTAATCCTGAGTCTAAATGTGTCCAGCCAAGCTACTGATTCTAATGAAGGAATTGCAAAGTCTTGGCAAATAGTTATACTTAATACACACTTCGGTAAGCTAAGGAATCAATAGTCTCGGATATAACTTCTACCCACACTCTGGTGCCATAAAGTATAATTTGATTAATTTTACCCCAAAAAGTCCTTATAGCTGCTGGGTAATACGTCCCTCCTTCTGTGTGAAAAAATACAACTCAAAGCATTTAAATATGGTGTTATAGGAGACAGACTGGAACTGATTTTTCCAAGATAGTGCTTGGGAAGATATCGTACCTAAATATCTAAATGCTGTTTGCCATCCTCCAGTCCTTTTTCTTTGGTCAACATCCTCTTGCAAAGACAACTACTTTTGATTTCTCAGCATTTATAATTAAACCTTAAGAGCCAGCATAAATTAGAATTGAAGGATTTTGATTATTAAGGATAGGTGCATGGTGAGTAGGTCCTGAAACTGCTTTGATGGTATAACTGATATGTAGATTAAATAAGTAAGGAGATACAAGAGAACCTTGTTGAACACCTTTATAGGTTGAGATAGAATCTTCAGGGTTACATCTGATTTTCACTTCTGTGCCTTTATATAGTCTAGTCAATAGCCATAGCAGGCATCTGATGATGGTGATTTCCTTTAGCTTCTGCCATAGTCTAGGTCTAGAGATATTATCAAATACTGAGCATAAGTCCATAAAGGCTACATGTAGATGATTACTTACTGAAGGAGTGTATTTCTTAAGCAAATGGGCTATAGCCAGGCAGTGATCAACAGCAGAGCATCCTTGGTGGAACCCACCTTGTTCCTCACTCAGAATTTCTGACTCCTCCAGCCATTCTTTCAATCTTATGCTTAAATAAGGTCCGTATAGTTTCCCAGTAACTGAGAGGAAGGTAACTGGGTGATGGTTCTGTGGATCCTGCCTTTTCCCTTTATTCTTAAAAATAGATATGACCCAAGCTTTCTTCCAGATAGAAGGAATACTCCCTTAGTTATTTATCATAGAGAGGGATTAAAACGTCTGCCCACCACTTTGGGTTTGATTGTAATAAATCTATTGGTACTCCATCAATTCCTGGTGCTTTTCCTGATTTCCTGTTCTTTATTAGGTACTAGCAGTAAAGCCCGTTGTGGAAATAAATACAACGAGATCTAGAAAGAGGCTCTGGGGGAGTGCTCTGGCTTTGGGCAAACAGTGTCATTTTGCTGTGGTGACCTCAGCAGGGTATAATGACAGAGTCCACTGTTTTCTCCAGAGGAACTGATCTCTGCTCCCTGAAGAGTAGTTGTACTTTTGAGTGATCTGTAGCCCTCACCTGGAGATTGGCAACAATTGTTACCCAGGATGAAATGGCTGGTTTGGAGGGTGGAGTCTATGGC